TTTTAATTATTAAAATAAATTATATCTTTCTATAAAAACGATACACAGGCTTGGTCTAGTTTTCCGATATCATAAAATACCTTTCTGCTTATATCAAGGAGGGTCTTCATGAATAAAATAAAAAATTAAAACTATAAAAATCTTTAAACAAGTGATGTCTCTATTGGAGCCATTAAAACGATCCAAAACAAATGTCCCAAATAATATTTTGTTTCAGTAATCGTATTACGATAAGTTATAATCTTCTGTTAGACTTTAAAAAATCACTTTAAATAATACAGAAACAAGCAAACATCCATTATTAATATCTGCCAACATTCATTGATTGATTTATTGACATTCGTTTCTTCCACGTAGACTCAAACTTTTGCTTGTCCTCGTGAATCCACGTCATTGGGGGCTTAATGAATAGAATAAATTTGACGAGAGTAAAAAGAATCTTGTACACAAATTATACGACAACGTGAGAGTTAAAAAGTTAATTAACGTGAGTGCACTTTAATTACGAGACTTGTTTCTCGTCTTTTGCCAAGACAGAAAAACTTTTAGCTGGAAATAAGTTGCACTGCATTTTTAAAAATTATTTCAACTTAAATTTAAAGATATTAAAAATCAGTAGTTTCTTGAGTTCACTAACTTGTTTATGTTCCTGATAGATTTTTATTTTATTTTAACCTTTTAAGAATAGATTATTATTAAAGAAACTTCCTTGTTCAAAAATAAGCATACCTAGATATGATAAAAAACTGAGAAAGTTTCTTTTTTTCAGTCACTAAAATTTTGGTTTACCGAATATTACAGCACCTTAATACAAAAAAATAAGAATCAAGAACGAGTTTTAAGAAATTCACGTTTATAGAAACAATTTTTCATGCATTTAAAGCAACGAAAACAGCTTTCAAAAATGTTAGACGTACGTATATTTTTTACAATGTCATTGAGTCACGGCAACGAGAAATATACTTTGGTGAAAAAAAATTTCTCGCACTACATTTTTATTCTTGAAACTCATGTAAAACCTTTTTTTTCTGTAACAAGTGTAGTGTAAAAATTTTAATTTTAACATGAAGAAAATAGAATACAGTACACTTATTAAACTGCGTGTCTTATGTAATTTTATTTAAAACATTAAATTTCTAGACGTAAAAAAAATATTTCTGAACAACTATTTCACGCATCAAACAATAACGTAGTATTTGAAATAAACTTTACGCCTAACTTCAACGCTCGATTGTAGCACTGAAAACAACAGTTGCATAATAATATGTGACAGGCGAAATTTCAAGCTGTTCAAAAATGAATACTAGCTGTGCGATGGCACGATTTTTTTTGTCACGCAAAACTAATCATGCACCAGTATTTTTTCAAGTCACCTATACACGCAAGACACCTACTCGTTATATATAGCAAGAGCTCGCGTTTTTCCCATATATCTATATACGTACATGGACATCGGAGGCTTCTGTTATGGGAGAAGGAGCAGTAATAGAGACTACCGAGAGCGAGTCTCGTTTGTCGCCCCACTACCTCAAAATAGTATAATAATGCTCGAGTTGTGTATTTGTCCGTCTGTAGGATGTACACACAAAAAGCAAGACAGCACGCGAGACCAGCTTGGCATTTCGGTAGAGGACTCCTTGTGCTCGGATTGTCAGTTTACTGTTCTCCAGTGCTCTGGTTTATATTTTTATCGCGATTACATTTTTTCTTGTTTTATGTTGAAAATTAGTTTTCTGAAAGAAGGAGGCATTTATATATATATTTTTTTTTAATTTGTGGCTCGTTAACTTGATGGTCGATTGTATTTTTGGATTTTTGGGGTACTAACAGACAATTTCTGTACCCATCTCAAATATTTTTTAATACGTAGAAAACGTTTGGAATAAGTATGCATAAAATTTTATGTTAATATTCATTGAATATCTATTCTAATAATCCATTTATTCTAATTACAAATTAATTAATATGTAAAAATAATCATATAACAATAAAGACACTTTATGCGTTTACTTTTACAGTTGATGTATCAGTAAAATGCATCGAACTGATTTCTTTTTATTTTACAAATACACTACAAAGTCTAGACACATCCTTTGATTGCTTATGTAAAAGTCAGAAGATCTAAGAGCAAAGTGCTGTCAGTGCTGCTTATGAAATTTCAAATATTTATATCCCGTGCATCGAGTACATTCTCTATTGTTGACACTACCTATTGGCGAATAATATTTGATGGTTATTGCTTATTGGTACTGTCCCGATAAATTTTTTTTTTTCGCACGCAAATAACGTGAATATTATAATTCTTATTTACCCATGAGTAAGTTCAGTGTTTTTAGCAAAAAACCAAATGATCCATACAGGTTTTATTATTAAATAATTCAGGAAACGTATTAATTAATCACAGGAAAAATGATGAGAAAAAAATAACGCAAAGTCGACCGAATCCAAGCCACAAATTAGACAAAAAAATTGCCTTTATTTTTCAATGGTCTTTTGAGTTCTCAACTTTAAGATCGACGCCACCGAGAACATAGCACTGAAGCGAATTCATCATCATCACCAGCTCCGCCACAGTGCACTGCACACGCGTTTTTCTCTTTCTCCTTCTTTCTACCTCAAGGTGCGCGCGTATAATCAGAACAAGTGTATTTGCAGTCGGGCAGCGTCCGTCCTATAGATTGGTATACCGGATTCCAGACCGCGATGGACCCCAAAAAAATAAGTGAGTACCCGCGCCTTCCCTACGCTATCATTCGGTATTCTTTCTCTTTGGACGTACCGGAATTTTTTTTCAATTAAAAAAGACCCTTTTAGCAAAACTAATGCAGTATATTTTAAAGAAAAATAATTTTGACTATAAAGTGTTGAAGTGTATTTTTTTTTTTAAGCAATGTTTAATGAACTTTATTTTCTAAAAATGCATCGCACAAGGGAAGGGAAAAAATTTAATAAGTTTCAAGTTAAAAGTGATGGTAAGAAAGGTTACTT